CACAGCTAATGGTGACCAGCCCCTGGCACAAGGGAAGCCATTACCGTAATACAGCTAATAGTGTACAGCGCCTGGCACAATGGAAGCCATTACCGTAATACAGCTAATAGTGTACAGCACCTGGCACAATAGGAGCCACTACAATAATACACCTAATAGTGCACAGCGCCTGGCAGAGTGGGGTCCTGGTCCCTGACTGGGGCTCCTGGGAGCTACTGTAATACACCTACTAAATGATGTACAGCCCCTAGCACAGCGGGGCCCTGGTCCATTGGCTACGGTAATCGAAATAAACCATAGCAATAAGAAGAGCTCGGCGGGCGGTGTTGGTGGGCGGGAGAGACAGATCCAGAGATGGGTACGCAGAGGGACGGGTGGCTGTTCAAGAGGCCGGCTTCCGATCGGCTATGGCTGCTCCCCTGGGTGCTACATCCTGCCCCAGAGGTTTCCCTTCAGCCCCCCCCCCCATGGGGAGCCCCTCCACCTACTCCTCTGAGCGGTGTCAGCCTAATGGGTCAGCACCCGGGGCCATCTGCCCCCCACAGGGATGCCCTTTTTGCCAGGGTATCACATAGCCCCCCCCCCCCCCGCACTATCTCTTTTGGGCGGGCGGGGAAGTGGGCCAGGGATTCCCGAGCCGGGGAATCCAGCCCAGGTTTTCCCCGCGCCTATGCAGCCAGCAGCCCCGCGCCTCGGCTGTTGGATTTTCCAAGGTGCCAACTCTCAGATGCTCATTCGCTTCCCCCGGGCCCCCATCGGCGGCTGGCGGCTCCCTCGGCGGGAGGGGGGGGGCTTGAGTCTCCGGACCGTCGACCAGCCAGGGGGCGGCTGCCCCGCTCCGCCCGGGGGCCCCCTCCGATCGCCCTGCGGTTCTGCGGACACCCCGCGGCGCCCGCCCCCGCCGCCTGCTCCAAGCCGCTGGGGGCGCGGAATTGGCCCCGCTAAAGCGAGCCCCGCGGGCTGCGGCGGGAGGTGTCCCGGCTTCGGAGCCTGGCCGCCGGCATGGCCGGTTCCTGACGGGTGGCACCTGCCGGAGGAAGAGGACGCATGGGGGAGGCCGTGCGCCACGGGGCCCGGAGCTGTGCCAGAGCCAGGAGCCCCCCGCGGGGTCGGCCGCTCCGAGGCTGCCTGGGCGCCGCTCAGCGGGGGCTGCTCTGAGCCCTGCGCCCTGCGCTCTGCGCTGCGCGGCCGGGCCTCCAGTGGCGGCGGCCGGAGGGGGATGCCCGGACTTGCGCGCCTTTCCTGCGCTCGCCGCCTCCCAGCTGCCCGGGCTGCGCGGAGCGGCCGGGCCGGGGAATCGACGCCCCGCTAGGGGCTCTCGCCGCAGCCGGCCCGGTGGGCGCGAAGGGGAGGCGCGCCGGGCGCAGATGCGGGGCGCTGCGGCCGGCGCGGTCCGCTCCCCCGGGCACTCATGAGCAGAGGGGCCAGTCTGCAGCGGAGAACCACCTACCTGATCTCCCTGACCCTGGTCAAGCTCGAGTCCGTGCAGCCGCCGGAGGAGCAGGCCAAGGCGGGGGCGGAAGATGGAGCCCCCCAGCCCGGCTCCAGCCCGGCCACCCCCGGCCTCTCCGGGGTGACGGCGCGCCGGGAGGGCGAGGGGTCCCGGGCGGAGGAAAGCGCCAAGAGCAAGCGCCAGGAGCGGAGCTTCCACCGGCAGGATGCGTTATGGATCAGCACCAGCAGCTCCGGCCCGGGGGACTATTTCCTGCAGCTGTCGCCCAGCAGCCCCCGGACCCCGGTGCCCTCGCCCTCCCCGTCCCCGGAGAGCGCCGGCCGGCTGCTCGCCCTCTGGGCCGGCCCGGGGCTGCCCTCGCCCAGTGCCAGCACCCCCGGCCCGGGGGCCCCGGCTGAAGACCCCAGAGCTCCGGATCCCAAAGCGGACGCTCCTCTGACCCTGACGCCGCCGGCGGTGCCCCCCAAGCCGGGCACTGCTCTGCACCCGGCAGCCCCAGCTGTGCCCCCCAAGCCGGACACTGCACTGCATCCAGCTGTGCCCCCCAAGTCGGACACTGCACTGCACCCAGCTGTGCCCCCCAAGCCGGACACGGCACTGCACCCAGCTGTGCCCCCTAAGTCGGACACTGCACTGCACCCAGCTGTGCCCCCTAAGTCGGACACTGCACTGCACCCAGCTGTGCCCCCTAAGCCGGACACTGCACTGCACCCAGCTGTGCCCCCCAAGCCGGACACTGCACTGCATCCAGCTGTGCCCCCCAAGCCGGACGCCGCACTGCTCCCAGCTGCCCCACTTGTGCCCCCAAAGCCAGAAGCCATTGTGGCCCCAGCGGCTCCGGGGGTGAATGAGACCCTGGAGGTGCCAGGCGAGCGGAGCCAGACCCCCAGGGAAGGTTTGCCGCCCCTCACCACCAGCTGCTCCTCCAGTGCGGCGGCTCCAGGCCGGAGGCTGCTGCTAAGCCATGCCAGCTGGGGCTGCCCCGACGTGCGGGAGCCCGGAGCACCGGAGGGCGGCGGTGCCGGCCGAGCCGGGGGCTCCTCGTTCTCCTCCCCTCTGGGCCCTGGCGCCTCCTCGCCTCACCCAGCGGCCGGGAGCCGGCGCCTCCGGCTGGCCAGCAACAAGCCTTTCAAAACGGTGACCACCAGCGGCGTCAAGATGGGCTCCGAGCCCAAGGCGGGCAAAGGCGCCCACAAGGGGGGCCCAGGCAACCGGCTGTCGTGGCCGGAGAGCGAGGCGAAGGGCCGCATGAAAGGGGGCCCCAAAGGCGGCGGGGAGGCGGCCCCCCGGACCACCGCCAGGGCGAAGCTGTCGCCGCGCAAAGGCAAGAGCAAGACCCTGGACAACAGCGACCTGCTCCTGGACGCCGAGGGCCCGGCGGCCTCGGCCTTCTGCCCCTCGGAGGCCGGCGTGGGGCTGAAGCGGGGCCGCGAGGGCGGCCGGGCCTCCACCCGGGACCGCAAGATGCTCAAATTCATCAGCGGCATCTTCACGAAGAGCCCGGCCTCCACCCCCACCCACCCCGGGCCCGGGTGGGGCCTGGGCAACCGGGAGCTGCTGAGCCCCGAGCGAGCCAAGGGGTCCTCACCCAGTAAGTACGGCGGCAGGCCTGGGGAGGGGGCTAGGGTGAGGAGTTTTGGGGGGGCATCCCTTAAAAGCCAAGGAGGGGGGAGTGGATCGGGGGGGTTGGATTATTTCTGCAGTGATGGGAGTGGGGGTTGGAAGCCAGGACACCTGGGTTCTATTCCTAGCTCTGGGAGTGGAGCGGGGTATTTGTCCAGTGGTTAGAGCAGGTGGGGCTGGAAAGCCAGAGATGAGCGCAGGTGAGGCACATCCCTCCATAGCGCCTCAGTTTCCCTTTTGGTAAAATGGGGGTGACAGTCCCCACTTGGGGAAATGCCACTGATGAGGGATCAGCGCTCGGAGGCCCGTGGTGAAAGAGGCTCTCGATGGGCAAAGTCAAACCACAGCTCCCCCGAGAATGACGCAGACCCGTCCCTGCCCCATCCCTTAGGCATGGGCGGGGGCTACCGGCAAATCTGCGTTATGGGACTTCGCGGGTCCAGTCCCAAGTGTGAGCTTGGGCATGGATCCCCCAGCAGCTCCGCTCTCGGGTGTGACGGAGCCCAGAGCCTCCACTGCGTGCGTATGTTGGTCATGGAGATGGGGGTTTCTGGTTAAGGTTAGAAACGCCTGGTCCTCCCGGGGGAATCTGCCTAGAAGCGGAGGACGCTTTGACCAGTACCATGCAGGCAGGTTTCTGAGACCGTGGAAATCCAAGAGGCGCTGCGTTAGGTGTCTCGGGGTCACCGAGCGGGGACGTGAACTCAGAAACTGCCGCGCAGGGGGGCGTTTGGTCTCAAGACGCCGCTGCTAAAGGGTTAATAAAGGCCGATGGGAGGCGAGTCTTGCAGCGGCGAGACCAGGGCCCCGCTGTGCAGGGCGCTGCACAAACACATGGCAAAGAGCCGGTCCCTACGTGGTTAGCGTGAGCAGCGTGGGTTAGGGGCGGATCCTCGGTGAGGCTTTGACCCGGTGGACTCTCCGACAATGGATTAGCCATTTATTGAAACGTCTGCTCAGCATTTATTAATCCTTGATTAATGGAACCATCCCAGACAGTGGGACCTACTGCTCTTTGGCGAATATGTGACACTCCTCCCCCCCCCCCCCGAGGGTTTTAGTCTGTGGTTGTGTTGTCCCCTGGTTGCATTGCTCTGGTGCTAGGATTGAGGGGTATGGAACAGCTTCCGTATGAGAAGAGATTAATAAGACTGGGACTTTTCAGCTTGGAAAAGAAACGACTCAGGGGAGATATGATAGAGGTCTATAAAATCATGACTGGTGTGGAGAAAGCAAATAAGGAAGTGTTATTTACTCCTTCTCATAACACAAGAACAAGGGGCCACCCAATGAAATGAATA